GGCGGCGGCGGGCTCCGGCACGGGCGGCGCCGCAACGGCGGCGGGTGGCGGCTAGGGTTAGGGTTTCGTGTGGGGCGGCGGTAACGGGCCTCGGGGCGGCGGCTTATAAAGGCCTGGCCCGAGAAGTCCTGGCCGAGTACGGCCCTAAGTCGGTCGATTTTTTTAAAATAATTTGACGTGTAGAAAAAGAAAGAAAAGAAATACTAAACAGACTCCAAAAATCTCGAAATAAAATTTCCCCGACTTCTAAAATCAAGCCAGACAAAGTAAACATTTATTTGGGGCCTAAATGCAATTTTGAAAAACGTGCATTTTTCCTAAATTCAAATAAAACAGCGAAAAACTCCAAAATAAAAATCTTATTTGATTTTAATATTAAATCTTTGATATTTGTTTATTTTGAGGAAGTCATTTTATCCTCTCCCTTTCATTTTTAATAAAAGAAATAATTCAGAGAAAAATAATTAAAATCAAATGATCCTCTTTTCATAATTCGAGAAAACCTCAAATATGAAAATAACGAAATCCTCAACTCTCTGCGTAGGTCCTTGAGTTGCATAGGATTTCTAGGATCAAACCAAAAAGCAAATAAAATTTGATATCAATGATGATCTAATGTATAATATTTCAAATTGAAAATTTGGAATGTTACAAGATACCATCTTATTATATCATATTATGATTGTTTTGAGAAAGTGTTGTCATCCGAAATTTATTATTATTGCTCGCTAGTTGATTATGCCATTGATATGAGTAAACATGAGACCTAAGCGTTATTGTGAATATGGTTAGTTTATAATCTTTGCTGAAAACTCGAATGTTGGCTTTACATATTTACAACAATAAGAGAAAATAGAGTTTGTAAAAAAATTTTTTATCACTTTCAGTTTGTCAATTGAATTGCTTGAGGACAAGCAAAGGTTTAAGCTTGGGGGAGTTGATACGTCTCCGTCGTATCTACTTTTCCAAACACTTTTGCCATTTTTTGGACTTTAGCTTGCATGATTTGAATGGAACTAATCCGGATTGACGTTATTTTTAGCAGAATTGCCATGGTGTTATTTATGTGCAGAAACAAAAGTTCTCGGAATGACCTGAAACTTCACCGAACGTCTTTTTGGAAATAATAAAAAAATCCTTGCAAAAGATGAAGACCAGGGGGCCCACACCCTAGCCACGAGGGTGGGGGGCGCCCTCCTACCTCGTGGGCCCCCTGAAGCTCCTTCGACCTCAACTCCAACTCTATATATTTGGTTTCGGAGAGAAAAAAATTAAGAAAAAGGATTCATCGCGTTTTACGATACGGAGTCGTCGCCAAGCCCTAAAACCTCTCGGGAGGGCTGATCTGGAGTCCGTTCGGGGCTCCGGAGAGGGGAATCCGTCGCCATCGTCATCATCAACCTTCCTCCATCACCAATTTCATGATGCTCACCGCCGTGCGTGAGTAATTCCATCGTAGGCTTGTTGGACGGTGATGGGCTGGATGAGATTTATCATGTAATCGAGTTAGTTTTGTTAGGGTTTGATCCCTAGTATCCACTATGTTCTGAGATTGATGTTGCTATGACTTTGCTATGCTTAATGCTTGTCACTAGGGCCCGAGTGCCATGATTTCAGATCTGAACCTATTATGTTTTCATCAATATATGAGAGTTCTTGATCCTATCTTGCAAGTCTATAATCACCTACTATGTGTTATGATCCGGCAACCCCGAAGTGACTATAATCGGGACCACTCCCGGTAATGACCGTAGTTTGAGGAGTTCATGCATTCACTATGTGTTAATGCTTTGGTCCAGTACTCTATTAAAATGAGGCCTTAATATCCTTTAGTTTCCGCTAGGACCCCGCTGCCACGGGAGGGTAGGACAAAAGATGTCATGCAAGTTCTTTTCCATAAGCACGTATGACTATATTTGGAATACATGTATACATTACACTGGTGAATTGGAGCTAGTTCTGTGTCACCCTAGGTTATGACTGTTACATGATGAACCGCATCCGGCATAATTCTTCATCACTGATCCATTGCCTACGAGCTTTACATATATTGTTCTTCGCTTATTTACTTTTCCGTTGCTATTGTTACAATCACTACAAAATATCAAAAACATTACTTTTGTTATCATTACCTTTTGCTACCGTTACCACTACTATCATATTACTTTGCTACTAAATACTTTGTTGTAGATATTAAGTTTCCAGATGTGGTTGCATTGACAACTCAGCTGCTAATATTTGAGAATATTATTTGGCTTCCCTTGTGTCGAATCAATAAATTTGGGTTGAATACTCTACCCTCGAAAATTGTTGCGATTCCCTATACTTGTGGGTTATCACGAGTCTGGGGAAGGGTCCGACCACTTTGGGTCTATAGCATGCAGCCTTTTCCTGCATTTGTGCAAGAGGCTGTTTCCAGGACTCGAACTCGTGACCTCACGGTCACAAAGGAATATAAAATTTCATGAAAAAGAAAAATAAAAAAACATAAGAAAAGAAAAAAAAAGTGAAAATGAACAAATTTTTGAGAATCATGAAAAAAACTGCCTAAAAATCCGTGCTGGAAAACAGAAAGAAAACCCGCCTATAAATGGTGCTTAAGGCGCCAAATAAAAATTGGGCCTAGCCAAAACTATTGTAAAAAAAAAGTGCCAAACCGAATCCCCTTGCCTTCTCTGCAAGCGACACGAACTCGGCCTCCTTAGCCCATATCATTCAACTCCCGATCCCAAATACGAGCACCAAGGAATTTCGCAGGAACAAAAGCTCCGACCGACGAAACCCAGCCCGACGAGCCACACATCCGACTCGATCCGGACCCAACGCGGCGCCTCCCACTCATACCGACCGACCGCCCTCCGCCCTCATGTCCTCCTCCGCCGGCGACGGCCTCGCGCCCCCGTCGTCGGCGTCCAAGGGCAAGGCCAGGATGGACGACGACGCCGAGGCCGTGGCCGCGGCGCCGGAGGGCGTGCCCTGCGGTATCTGCTTCACGGACTCGCGCCGGGCGATCCGGGGCGAGCTCGACTGCTGCGCCCACCACTTCTGCTTCGTCTGCATCATGGCCTGGGCGCGCGTCGAGTCGCGCTGCCCCTTCTGCAAGGCGCGCTTCCACACCATCCGCCGCCCGCCCGTCCCCGGCCGCCTCCCCTCCGAGCGCATCGTCAACGTCGCCGAGCGCAACCAGGTAATAGCCAAATCCGAAGCATTTTCAACCCCATGATTGTCTTGTCTATCAGTTGCGCGATAATTATCCAGCCATCTTCGTCGCCGTCGCGGCCTCGCTCCATGGATAAGTTAGACTGTCAAATATTTCATGACGTGTTTCTATAATTGCACATTTCCTAGGTTCCAGCTTCAGACACCATAATGGCAAAGTTCACAGTACTGAGATTTATGAAAAGAGTCTGTCAAACTAAGAATCAGGAAAACAAATTAAGCCGCACGGACAAAACCTTAAAAGATTCATGTAACTGCTGCAAAGGTGAAGCCAATCGTCGATTCTTTGGCCTCTTTGTGTCATCTAGAGGGAACAGTGGAAATAACCTACATATTTGGTGTGCGTCTCAAGCTGATTTTACACGTCGAGTTAGCATTGAATGCGACGGTGCGCAAAGGCAATAGGGTTGACTCTTAAGATGATCTTTCCTACTTCTAAAAGTTCGAGTTGGTGGCGAGTTCACTTCTCTACACATGTGGGATGTTTTGCCAAAAGGGGCAGAATTAAAATACTGGGTCAGCAGAGAGTCGAACTCGGCACCTTGTCTAGAGGGTTCTAGGGTCCTACCATCTGATCTGTATACTAGGGGTCTGCCAAAGGGATCGAACGACATTTATTAAATTAGCCCTCAACCATTTCCTCGCGAGTCCTCCATCCGTCATCTTTTTTTGCAGTCCTGTCCTCTAGCCACCTCTCCTTCCAATCATCGTCCTCCGTCATTTCAAAATTTGATCTATGATCCCGCTTCAAATTTTCTAATGCCTCTCCCGTGGTCGCTTCAATTGCTCCAACATGGCTCTGCTGCCGAGCCTTTCCCTGCCTTTTTCACATTTTTGTTTATGCTGAAAATTGAAAAGTAGGTGGTGTGTTTTTTCTTTTTCTATTGAGAGGATTGTTGTATAGTGGAATAGGTAAGAGGACTAAAACTGGAGTGAAACCCAACATATTTATAATGTTATACAGCCCGAATTAGGATGAAGCATAAGAAGTTTGAGTGGTATATACTATCGAAATGTTTTTAAGGTTTGTGAGAACATATTTATTTACTTTGGATCTGGTGCAACACACATACACTTTGCTAGTTGTTATTTTTAGTCGGTTTTATTCTCTCTCCTCTCTCATTGTCCCTGGCAGTTCCTATGTGTCAAGATGTAGAGTCAGTTGATGTCACGCCTTTGTAAATGCACTTACAAATTTAAGTTCTTGCATCGCAATGCCAGCAATTCATTGATAACTCTATTACTCCCTCATTTTAGGTTTACAAAGCCCGCATTTATTTTGACCATCAATTAGACCAATAATATATGAGTTGTGTATCATTATACCATCAGAAACTTCTTTCACATATGAATTCAATGATAAAAAATTATGGCATATAATTAACATTTGTTAGTCAGTCAAATAAATGGTTGTAGTTGGCCTCAAAATGTGTGTGGGCCTTGTAAACCCGAAAGGAGGTGGTAGTTTATATTCTGTTGTTAGGACCCTTTGAATTCTTAGCAGAACTGACGTGCTGTGTTGGTTGAACAGGTATACCATCCTCGAGGCAATGTGAGTAGCGTGGTGAGCACTGATCCTTACGTGAACAGCCGCTGCAGCGTATGTAACTGCTCCAGTGATGAGGACCTGCTGCTCCTCTGCGAGCTGTGCGATGCGGCTTCACACACGTACTGCGTGGGGCTAGGGACCACTGTGCCAAAGGGAGACTGGTTCTGCAAGGACTGTGAAACATCCAAGGAGGAGCACTCGAGGTGTCAGATCGAGGATGGTGGGTCTAGTGATCAGGGTGAAATTGAAATCACCATTGAAGTTCCAACTGCTGAGCCAGTTACAGAACCTTCCGCTTCTGATATTGTGGATGAGGGTTCCTCTCTGAGTTCAGTGCGCCGCACAAATACGAGGAGCAGTGGGACTACCATTGAAGTTCCAACTGCTGAGCCGGTTACAGAACCTTCCGTTTCGGATATTGTGGATGAGGGTTACTCTTCGAGTTCACTGCGCCGCACAAATACGAGGAGCAGTGGGACTACCATTGAAGTTCCAACTGTCCAGCCAGTTACAGAACCTCCCGTTTCAGATATTGTGGATGGGAGTTACTCTTTGAGTTCACTGCGCCGCAGAAATACGAGGAGCAGTGGGCCTATCCCAGTTCCGTCTATTTATGATAATGTGGATGAAGATTACGGGACAATTCCAGTGCATGGGACAAATGCACAAAGCAGTGGGTCTTTCCCAGTTCCTTCTGTTTATGACATTGTGGATGAGGATTACGAAATAAATCCACTGCGTAGGACCAATACGCGGAGCACTAGACCTGATAGAAATGCCAATGATTTGCCATCGCAGGGTAATTCTTCTGATGGATCATATTCTCATGAATCTCCTCAAGGGCGAGGCACTGGTCGCGCATTGTTGCATGCCCATGCTCGCTTTGGAACTGAGAGAGCTAGAACATTTCGTAATTCTCGCAATCTTAATAACCGTATAATGCTGCTGCGTGAGAACTGGCCTGCTCTCCGTGCAGGTTCTGCGGGATTTGCCACACATCTACACAACAATAGCGCTAGTTCTTCTGTTAAAGATCATCAGCAGTCTGCGGCACCTCCGCCTAAGGAGACCCGTTATGTCAATAAGGCATGGAAAATGTTGGAAATGGCAAACTCTGCTGGTGGAAGGAAGAAATGTGACAAGCCTTCCTCCCTAGACTGCACTCCTCGATTCTCTATGGGAAATAGGTCAACTTCATTCAGCCCGATTGATACAATCTTAGGACAGAAGAAGCAGAGCCTTTCTCCTACCGTGACTCAGAGAAACGCTATGAAATTTGACCGTGGTGCAAAAAGGGATAATATACTGCCCAGGAAGGATGTTGTAGGGCACTGCGACTTGCCTGGGAATCGCCATGTATTAGTTTGTGAAGGAATTGGTTCATTCCAGAGTAGAATGACAAATCAGGAAAGTCCAAATGGTAAAGTTGCCTCGTCAAGCCATAGTCAGCATGTTGATCAGACACCAGAATCTTCGTGTGGCGGTAAAGTTGCCTTATCAAGCCACAGACAACATGTTGATCAAACATTGGAATCTGTGCATGGCCCGCTTGGATCAGGGAAACCTAAAATGGATGCACTGCATCCATCTGCAAACAGTCTATCGTCCGGTCGTCCCACGGCGATCTCTCCGCTACAAATCGTGTCGAGCGCTGGGAGCCAATCTGGTGCAAAGGTAAACCCTCAGGAACCTTCAGCAGCTCGTGCTGCAACATCCTATGAAATTGGTACCGTGGCAGCAACAATTGAAGTTAGAAAAAGTTCTGGACCAGACCGTGGCGAGTCCAAGAGAAAACATCGTTCTGGAATGCGTGATGATCAAGGATCCAAAAAACCCAGGGTAAACCCTGAGGAACCTTCAGCCGTTCGTGCCACAACATCCAATGAAATTGGTACCGTGGCAGCAACAGTTGAAGTTAGAAAAAGTTCTGGACCAGACCGCGGTGAGTCCAACAGAAAACTTCGTTCTGGAACGCGTGATGATCAAGGATCCAAAAAACCGAGGGTAAACCCTGAGGAACCTTCAGCCGTTTGTGCCACAACATCCAATGAAATTGGTACCGTGGCAGCAACAGTTGAAGTTAGAAAAAGTTCTGGGCCAGACCGTGATGGATCCAAGAGAAAACATCGTTCTGGAACACATGATGATCAAGGATCCAAGAAACCCAGGAAGAGTGGTAAACTTGCAAAAAGTGAAATATCATGCTTGGCCATGCTTGAGTTGAAGCTACTCAAGATAGACAAAACCTACGGTACGTATTTTTCCTTCCAGCCCTTTCAGCAAGAAGAACCTTCTTTTATTTACATATATCTGATCTGTTAAAACTTGCTTGTGATCCAGGTTCCGACAGATTCAAGGAGGTTGCTCGAGCAGCAACACACACCGTCTTGGCTTCCTACGGACTGGAGCATACTCCATCAGTAGCCCTGGCACTCCCCAAACCGGTCTGCAAGCACAGCTGCAGAACCGGATCTTCCAAACCGTCAGCGATAGCCAACACCTGCAAGGAATGCCTGCGTGGTTTCGTGAAGCAAGCCATCAGTTCGGTGTTGGCCAGCAAGCAGATGGATCAAACTGCCGCCTCTTGCTAGGGTTTAGACTGCGTCTCAGATTGTCTTTCACGGTTGTGAAAGGAAAAATTCTTTTGTCTTACCTAGTGTGTAGACAGATGTTGTATGTACATTTCCGTAGCGTTTTTTGGTGTAACCTACCTAGCTGTGTAGTGGTTGCTTGGCTTGGTTGGTAGACCTGATCCAGGACAAGAAACATAGTACTTGAATGGGTTTCAATCAAGAATAATAACAAAAGAAACATAGTACTTGAAACAGTAGTTGCTGGTTTATATGAGGCAATGGTTGGTGCGGCTGGAGCACGGAACTGGTCTCACATGCCCGGATTTGTGAACGCTGGCTGTTAATGGTTGGCTGGACAAAAAGTCTCCCAAGTAGGGAAACCCAGCTGGGGGTTGTGGTGTAATTGTTCGTCGCAAATTTTGCGTATTTAAGCGCCACTAGCTGCTATTGGTTGCTTGACCTCCTAAAGTCTTTCCCTGAGGAGAGGCATTACTGAAAGTCTGAAACTTTCCAAGATTGTGAGTGTTAGGTCCAATGCTTTACCCAAATGATTTATACAAGCTGGAATGCAACTGGCAGTGTTTCTATTTGCAGGAATGAAGGTTATGTGAGGTAAGTAGCTCTAGGTTGGTTTGGCAGAATATATTGTTGGTTACTGTCACCAGTCACCAACTCAATGTCTGGACCGAGATGAAGTCTAAGTAAATATGCCATCGCTGCATACAGCGATTTAATGGATTTGTAAAAAGCAAAGTTGGTATTCGTCTATTCGTTAATCACACAAGAAAATGTTCAACTATTTCTCTTCAGAACACAAAAGGTCCATTTAGGCTTGACCCGAATCCGATGCCGAACCATGCGCATTTGAATTTCTGCCTCTCGGTTCCACAATTCAGTTCCGAATTCGAGTGTCATTTTGTGTTAAGCTAGAGGAATTTACCCGTGGTCTTTTTATAACCATTCAAGCAAAGTTTGTTTGGTTTTCCACCTTGTAAAAGTGCATCGACAAAGTCCAGAAAAAGACGGCCAGGACTGTAACACTAACAGGCACGCAAGACACAACCGACGGCATCATCATCAGTTAAAACAAAACGTCAACACCAAGACTTCGAAAGGACATTGAGAGTAATTTTCCTCGCAGACGAGGTCGGAAGAAGGATCTAAGCAGAGAACCAAAACGGCTCCGGCGGTGGCCACCACTGACCACCGGACAAGGCAGGCGTTACGCTCGAAGCAGAGAGACGAGACGAGACGCATTGCCGTCCGGAGGGTGGCAGTTGGAAGAACCGGACGACACCGGGCGGTAGCGAGCAGCGTAGCGACCGGCGAAGCCGATCAGGACACGCGTGCCATTGCTGTTCAGCTCTTCCTGATCGCCTGCGCCGGATGACGAATGTGATCCACTGACGGCCTTGAGATTTTTCTCTTCTCCTCCGAACTATCTGCCGGAGTGACGAGTGTGATACAGTGACAGTCTTTTGATTTTCCTTTGTTTTCTCGAATTACCTACCGGAGTGACAAATGTGGTACAGTGACAGTCTTGTGATTTCCCCTTTTATTTTCAAATTGTTTAGTAGGAGTGACATTTTCATTCCAAGCCCGTCCCTCTCCAGACGTCTCTAGCGTTGACTTGCCGCGTATATACGATTTTTTTGAACTGACGAAACATTATTCAATTTGTGGTAAAGACATTTCCTTAAATTTGGCTGAGTCCTGTTTTCTCCTTTTTTTTCGGGTGGAAATTCAGTCCCGTTAACGAATATTTTGTTCGATATTTTGTAGTAAAATGGGAGCCAGACATATCACATTTTATTTTTTTGGAAAAAGGAGGTTGGAGCCATATATATCACACATTAGAAGGCGGAAATGTTAACGCAAAAAAAACTAAAAATTGTGACAACCAGATTTGAGATGCAAAAACAAATAAAATTGCCATGCTTGTGTATCAGGATTTGCCATATTATGCGGTTAAAATTGCCATACAGTTTAAATAAATTAACGAAAAAATTGCCGTTGTCATGCTTTCGATCAGGATCCGAGTTACCCTGGGGCGTCAGTTTTTAAACATAAAAACCGACGTCAGATGTATATTGAACTCCCAAAATATTGACAAGCCATACGCAATGTTCAGAAATACCAATATGGTTTTCTCTGAGATAAAATATACAAATATGTTACCAGTTAAGCAAGCATATTTAAGGCATGGGCATGTCTTTAGAGAAGCTTCTTTGCTATTTACAAAAGATTCATTTGAGTTACGGAAATCAAAGGTTCATTATGCTTGATTGAATTGTAGGATAAAGTTGAACGAATTTAACTTGGGCTTCTCATGCTCAACTTTGGATTTTTCAATTTTATTGGATTTTCATTGAAGTTTGTTTGAAATTTTTGTTAACATGTTCCAATTTGTATCATTCTTTACTCTCGGCATGATATATTTTCTACTTTTCGTGAGGGTAAATCCCCACATTTCATTTCCCTCTATCCTTTTGCATAGGTCATACCATGTTGGATCAAAGAGCCCACATTCGGCGTTGCAAATATCTAAATAGTATTCGAGAGAAACAATGGCTAACTCTGAATTCATCAAGTTTGATGTTTTCGGCTCGAGTATAATGGACCACCCTACCTCAGACCAACTCAATGTGAGGTGTCTCATTTAGCCGCTTATTTACCCAACGTGGGAAGCACATCTTGTGAAGGGTATGCATGTTGAGGGTACCATCGAGGCTATACGCTTCAGGGTATGGCCAGCGCAGAGGGGATGTAAATGAAAAATCTACACCTAGGACAAGGTTCATCCTACTTGAACCACATCTCCGGCAATCATTACTTGATGGATGAAGAACAAAACTATCCATGTGGGATATACTCCAAGCATATCTCATTGTTATATTGTTGGGTTATTCCGACAAAGTATTGCTTTAAGATTCTCCATAAAGACCAAAATACCCTCATGGTATGTTGTAGCCCAAGGGACAAATATGTAAGTATGTAACCATGGGCCCGTATAGGCTCT